TTTCTTCATGTTAATGACGATAGAAATATGAAAACTTGAGAAGAATTTTTATCTAAATGTAAGAGCTATTCGATATCCACATTTGATTAAACAAAATATAAACAGTGGAAATAAGAAATTCTCTTATATATTTTTATATAAATTTTAGATACAGATAATGAAATTTTCAATTTATAAATCATACATTTTTGAAGTTATATTGAATTGTTCCAAGAGAAATTTTTATATTTAAATTAATATTTTTTTTTTCTGATTTAAAATTCATGTTACCTGAGATTACCGAATTATCTCCAATTTAATTTTCTGAAAAATGAACAAATTAATTTTCTGTTATTTAATATTAAATTCTTGAATAAAATTTCAATATACATATTAGAATAGCTGTAAATTACTTGTTTCAAAAATATTCAATTGCACAGAGCATGATAACGTTGGTGTCCCAACTAAGAAACGCCCAAAATTCAATATTTTGTATAAAGCGCGCAATATAAATTTAATATAAATGAACTGATTTGTAAAATGTTTTCAATTGTTTTGTTGTTTAAATCATACATATTTATAGTTTTCTGAGGGAGGTAAAGAGCTGCTTTATTTTTAACACTCCTTTTCGGAGGAGCGAATATGTAAACCTCTTTTTTCGTATCAATTATAGAGCAAGCGGATATTCAAAAACGGGACCCTACACGTTAATTTTTCTTTGTTAATTAACTTCTCCACCATTTTGTATATTGGTATAGAAGACAGCGATTTCACAATCAACAGTTTTTGCATTAATTTTTATTGTTTAATACTCGTATTAAAAAATGCATAATTTTTAAAGTTGTTCAAATTTTCTGTAGTAATTTCAATATTAAAATGTAAAAGAATAATTTTTCCTTAATTATTATTTCGTTATTTTCGTTTTTTTTTTTTCCTTTATCTCCTTCAACAATATCCTGCAACAATAATGTATAAATTAGCAATAAGTACAAATATCTGATTGTAATAAATTCAATTGTTAGAACTTCTGTAAAGGAAATTTTCTTTAAATGTCTATCTTAAGAATCATCGAGTGCCATTCAGGCAGACCCATCTTTAGATGCGATTAGTGGAAAAGTATACGGCCTAACATATTTTTATGAAAATAGCCGACGAAAAATTTTTGTAGTTCTTCGCCTGCCAGATTTTATCCTGAATGCCCCGAAATAGTTACCTCCGCGATCTGCTCATATTAATATTCATAATATTATACTTACCACAATAACTTCAGGAGGAACGTCAAGTGTATCTGCATCTACATCCTAAAAATTCAAATTCATAAATTTACTAGCTTCTTGGCGTTACCGGGGATTATGAAAGAAAGTTTAAAACATAATAAATTGTTAATTTACGAAAATATTATTTAAAAAGATAAATATCCGAGTCTTTAAATGTAATAATTTGACTTTAATATCAGGAGGAATACTTTTCACAGTATATCCTGGAAATGTAAAGATGTTTTTAGGAAGTCTTCGGAGTACATTAATTAATATTTGATAATTAATATTGATTAGGTTGTGATGGCCCAGTAAATGACTCATTTTATAAACATTATCAGAATGTCTAAAACTACGTGGGGATTATGTCCTTAGAAAAAACGAGTTTAATAATAACAAATTATTAAAGTTAAGAAAGTACCATTTAGAAATGAAACTACACGAGTTGTTAAATGTGAACAATTAATTACTTATATAGTTTGTATGGTGTAACACTTCACACCCAAGCAGGTGAGTGCTATTTACTAATGTTGCAGTAATAATATAGAGCGCCTATTAGATCAATTTTGAATGCAGATATGAGCAAGGAACTGTCCGTTTGTTGTTCACTTCTATTTCAGTATATGCACAGTTAGTTTTCACTCTCGTTGTTGTGAGAAATTTGTCACCTTGTGGTTTTGACATTCTGTACAAGGGATAGCCATCATCTTAGGTTTAAGTTTCCGCTTTACAGATTTGAACCTTATCGAGAACTTCATAAGTTTGTCACAGACCCTACTAAAGGTATTGAATGTCGTTCCCTTCTCTCACTCATCTGACTAATTCCATTGATTTTATATGGCTAACAACTTTCCGATCGGTCTGAAAGCCGATTAGTAAAGTGTCATTCATATTCCGTTGAGAGTAATGATATACAATGTTAATTAAACAGTGTAATTAGTTAACATAAGCCGCCCTGCTCTTGAATGTCTATTAATTAAAGAACTTAATTAAATTTTAATGATGTAAACTTACAGTTGGTTCTTGAGTTTAGTGGAGAGATAAACTGAAAATTTAAATAGTTGAAACATAAATTGAAACATTGTTGAAAAAATCTCCAGCTTCCCCCTCTTAAAGATCTTGTTTAATCACTTTTTACAATGGATGTCGATTGATGAATATTCTGTTAGATTAATGATTTTTTACTTTCAAGCTTTAGACTTGTATAACAAAATAATGGAAAATTTCAAGATTAGATTCATAATACGATAGGTTACAGAAAAACCAATTATTGTTCGTAGAGAATTACAAAAGAATTCCACTCGAATCCTGGATTATTTAAATTTTCTATTACGAAAACTGTACAGAGAAGTTTTTGTTTTTTTAATTTTATTAAAAATTTTAGTTTGATAGTGATAGAAGTATCGAAAATTCATTTACAGTATTTTATTAATTAATAAAATAACCGTCGATACTCCCTCAAAAACAATAGACTACACATACATAAAAGTATTTGCATTGACAAAAGGTGACTTTGATACTAGTATTAATACCTATTGATAATTAAATAATATCTCTGCTCTATCATACGAAGTGTCTCCTTTAAAATATTCAGGGATATCTTTATTCTATTAACAGGATTGTATATTGGGCTACGTTCCTCTTCACTCTACTGAAAAACATATCCCGAAATACATGGGATAGAATTGCCTTTCCTTTTAAAAAATGCAGCATTTCCTGGTACGATAGCTCCTAGGAAATAAAACTTGATTATCGCAAAGCCATCAAACCCAAGATGATAATCTAATACAAGAACTTTAATACCTATTTTTAAAATATTAGTCATGCATTTATTGTTCATACAATATTGTCAGAAATACTACAACTAACGTACAACAGAAATGTTTGTTTGAAAGTAATACTGTAATAAATATTTTTTTTAGGATTTCTTCGAGCGAAATACGAATCCAAAAGTATTACAACATAGAAATTATTATATCAGAGTCTCAGTTAAATAAAATCCTGAACAGGCATTTGGAACTTCTTATTACATATTTTAAAAATTCGAAAGTACTGTTTGTGCATTACTTGTGCAGAATCTTTAAAACTTTTCCAGAAGTTATCGAATAAGAAGTGTTATAATTTTAAGTATTGTGTACGTCTTCCCTAATAAATCCTATTTTTTGCAATTTATACTTGTATTATTTAATAATATTATCGCACATACAGTACTTTTTCAACTTGTCGAATACACGTGTCAGCCTTACAGAGAAAATAAAGTTCATTTAAGATTTTTAATTAAAATTTTTGAATCATGCAAACATGACATGATGTTCGAATCGCAAGTTAAGCAATTCTCTAAGGCAATTCTAACGTACTTGTGTTGGTTTAGTTTATTCAGTTCAAATTTTATTTCTAATGTTTTATATGAGTAATAAGCAGGGCTGTGGAGTCGGAGTCGGAGTCGGAGTCGTCAAAAAATCCGCCGACTCCGACTCCCTTTTACTTACCAACTTGTTATGTATATGAAACGGAGTTGGAGT